GGCAAAAAAAACCAAGTCCCAAAGTGGCAAAAAAAAAAAAAAACCTCCACTGTTAACAAATGAGCTCGCAGCCACAGGAATGACTTTTTTCTCCCCTCCCACAGGACACCTGCTTCCCATCGCACCCAAACGCTGTGGGGTGGCACACCAAGGTGCCCAGCCCTGCACCAAGAGGCGAGATAAGGCTCGGGGAGGTGCCGTGAGTCACGGAAACAGGACAGGTTGGGCAGCCGCACCACCACACAGTCAAGCACATGGTGCCTCAGCTCCCCGGGATGCCCCGGCACCCAAAATCCCTGCGGAGAGGGACGGCACGCCTGGGACGCTGAGCGGTATGTACATAGGCTTGCCCCCTCCCCAGCTGCCTCAGGGAAATGGGATTTGTGGAGCATGACTGAAATAATGCCTTTCTGCAGCACTTTTCTTCTGACTTGCTGGCAGGTTAGAGGGTTGCACAGGGAGGGCTTTGGCTGTTGTTCATCATAGCATGGAGGTGAAGGGGAACCCTCCCCCCCACTGGCATCCTTTCTGGGGGAGCAGCTGTGCCAGTTTCATAGGCAGAATTAATGAATTACCTGTGTTAATGGCAAGGGTTAAATCTGTGCTTCCACCCATTATGTGGTAGAATTAGCTGTGTGATGTGTGGTCCAGGTCAAACCCCTTTAACCATCACGGCTTTGGATGAATTTGCAGGGTGTTCACTATGCCACATTCCCATGTGCATCTCTGACTGCCTGGATACCTCCCCCATGCCAACCAGGACCCTTTGGGCTGCTGGCACCCAGGGCTTTGCCAGCTGCCAAAAATGTATTTCAGGTCTTCCCATATGTGCAATTATTTAAAAATAGAGCCCTCTGCTGCAGCTTCCAGTGCAGGGACAGACATTTGACCCTCACTTACCTTGTGCCTTCAGCCCCCAAGAAAAGCCTCTTCCCAGCAGCCAGCTTTGCTGCCAGCCCTGAGCACCAACACTTATGTCCCTCCTTTTGCCATGGATTTTTGGCACGGGTCACTGTGGTACAACCTGCGTGCCATGGCACAAGTATGCCTGCCAAGCTGCCGGCCACCATTCCTACATCAGAGGGGATGTGATTGCTCCCCTCCATCTCTCACCAGTGCCACAGCTCTTGATTCACCACTTGAGGCCGGCAGCACCTGCAGGCCTCAGGTCCCACCTTGGCACCTCCAGGCCTCACACCCCACCTCGGCTGCAGCCCCGCTCCCAGACAGGGCCCGGCCACCACAGCTGGCCCCAGCCCCGCACCCCTGCATCCTGTTCGGTTTCTGTTACAGGATAAGGCCTCACCCAGTTAACTATTGACTTGCACTGGGGGCAGCTTCGCCATAAAACACTCTTCCCAGCCATTTGGCGGGTGCAGCCGCTCGCCAAGCATTTTTATGAGCTTAGAAATTTATAAGCGCCCAGGCAAAGAGTGCTCTCCTGTTGAGCAAAGCTCAGTCAGATTGACTCCTTTCGAGACTAAAAATGGCTTTGTAGCACTCTCCATTCTCCTGTGGTGGGACCAGTCTTCGACACACCGTGGATGCGCACCCACCCTACACCAGCCCCTCTTCTGCACCTCTGCATTCAGTTTTGCAGGAAAACTCTGACTTTTGGAGGGGTAACTTGCTGGGTCTGGGCAGAGAAGACATCTAGCAACCACTCTCTTTAAGCCACATCCCCACCCCTTACCAAAATGAGGAACTAAAACAGGAACATTCACCCACTGCATCCTGGAAAACCTCCTTGCGAGGACAGGGATCTGCCTGGTTTTTTTTCTTGGCAGCAGTCAAGCGGCACTTCAGTCCTGAGCGGGCTCAGGGTGGAGCCTCTCACAACACCACAGAGCTCGAAAGAGTATTTGTCCAACAAGTTTTTTGCTCTTGGAATGTTTTTTAAGCAAATACGTTTCAGGTTTATTAGACAAATAACTCTGTTTATCACTCACCACAGTTACTTCCTCTCCTGCAAGTCACTCTCTGGCAGATGCCCAAGTACAGGCGCCTTGTTTTTCTGGCACAGTCTTAGGGGGAGAAAAAAGTAAATCCAAACAATTAAAAGATATTATAATAGAGATTCCAGGACTGGGCTACCCTCTTGTAATCACTTGTAATGCAATCAGGTTCCAGGAATTCCAGCACCTAGAGACTGCACCCAATAAATTTTACCTGGGATTAAGGTGAAGATAAATAGTCCAAACAAATGCATGACCAAAGCAGTAGTGTTTATCGGTTTGGTTTTCCATTTCTCTCTCTCTCCAACTAAATCAATATGCACATAGAATAAAAACAAATTTGGCAAAGGAGAGCACTGTGCAATGGGTCCCAGTGAGGCCAGTGTCCCCTGCAGCAGCAGGGACCAAACGGGGATGTTTTGTAAACCCAGGGGAGTTTTGCTCCACACACTGTGCCCAAACCACGGCCCGGGTCCAAATCCCCACCAGCTCCAGGCTCTGCTCATGGCATTTGGAGAAGTCAACAAACTTCAAAAGCAAACCAATACCCATTTTGAAGACTATACAACTTGCCAAGGGGGATTTTAAGGGCTGCTCTTCTGGCCCCATCACACCCAGCACCAGACCAGGCACTGGGCTGGGGAGCCAGGCATGGGAGAAGCTGCAGACCCCACGCCACCTCCTACAGAGGCAAATGCCTGCTCATCATCACCTTTCTCTGGAGGGAACTGCTGCAGAGAAGTGAGGGGCCAAGGGAGGATGCTGCACCATGGCCATGGTCAATCCTGTGGCCATGGACACCCTTCCCTGAACTCAGGTCCTGTGTGGGGGCCTGGAGCGAAGCTGGGCAGGAGGTGAAGCTCCTCTCTTCTTCCTCATGACGCAGCAGCCTGAAATCAGCTTTCAGCCCAGCCCTGCTGTCACCCATTTCTCCTTATTTGCCCTTCAAACAGGAAAAGCAACTCTCAGCATAGCTCTTTTACAAATTTCCTATGCCAAGCCTCACTAAAGGGCTGCTTTAGTTAACATCAGGCTCTTTAACTCTGAGTACATGTCTCACTGGTGACAATTTGCCTTAGGACACCAGAGTGGTTTGCAGGACGGACACTCACCAGGCTGCATCTCTGAATTTTGAAGGTAAGAGTGGGTGCCCCACTCAGGAGCCCAGTGCATGGGGTGGCAGGTGCCCATCGCTACCATTGGGGCAGCAGCAGGAGGGAGCAGGGCAGACTCGCTCGGGTAGGAAATAGTATACATTCCAAATTACAACCACTCCTCATTCCTGTGGGTAAAGACACTGCAGGATTTGGACAAGAGGAAACATTTCTGGTTTTAAGGCAGGTGTCCCAAACCCAGCGCTGCTCAGCCCAACTCAACGGCACTGCCTTCCTTCCCTTTCTCGTTTTAAGGAGCACAAGTTTGTTCTCACACATTCCCCAGGCTGGGCAAGGCCAAATTGCAGCTTGTCCTCAGATGACATTTTGCAGCCCCCAATATTTGAAGCCTGCTTTGCATAATCTCAGAAGGAAACACAGCAAAGCCATGATTGAAAATGTGCTCCTTGAGCTCATCACTATCAGAACAGAAAAGCATGATCCGTTACTGAGAAAATGTCACGAAACAGGAGCCCACAAGCAATCAACAGGGAAGAGTCCAGAGGCTTAAAACTTAAGCAAGCTCAATCCCTGCAGCCTGCTCTAATGCTGGGACTCCAGCATCAGGGTGGGATTGTGCACAGGTACCTGATAGCAATTTACACATCTTTGGTGACCTCTTGTTGCAAATATGCCCAAACATAGAAATTATGTTTTCATCTACTGTCTGCCTGGTTTGGGTGAGTTACAGGTAGGCTTTATGGTATTTCCTTCTTTTTCCTCAGCGTGACCCGTGACCCTCGGCCACCCCTCGGTCGTGCTCTCTCCCCACCACCATGCGGGTGGCAGGTAAGGAGGGAAGCAGAGATTTACTTTTCTCTGTCCCTTTTTCTACAGTTCTTTATGGCTCCTTCTCATTTACATGACCCCTTCCAAGCCCTGCTACACTGACCTTCCCCTGCCAGGGCCACGGGAAAGGGCCTTTGTATAAGCATCAGGTTTTTAAGAGATTTGTGTAGATTTCAGTCTGTTGTCATTTCCCAGTGAAACCCTCTGTGGCTGGGAAGAAATGACTATTGAGACAGTCCTGGTTCCATAAGAGCCATTCAGCTACCATATAAGTATATTTTTCTACTCTCTTTCCATGCAGGACTGGAACGTTTTGCTCCAATGAGCGCTGCACTTTAAAGCCAAATGCCAATCACATTTGTATTAGCAGCTGCTCGGCTGTAGCTAGTGACTAATTGGGGGATAGCAGCCTTCCCAGCACTGGGAACACAAGAAATATTTGGATTTACATAGCTCTCTGGCTAATTACCAGATTTACTCTAATGCAGAGAGAAATATGAACAGTGCCTCCCAGTAGAAGGGCAGTGCCTATCTGAGCATCACCACACGCTCTAAAGATATTAATTAAGAGATCAGATCCTTTTAGAGGATGAACAAAGGAGTATTAGATGCTGTCCCATGCCACACAAGCGCTGGCTGTCACTTTGTGCGTGGTACCCTTGGGACACACAGCCCAAGTCCCCAAGAAGCCAAAAGGGATGCTCCAGTCCCCAGCCCGCACTGCTGCAGCTGCTCTCACCTGGTTCCTCTCCCACCCCTCACAGTCACGATCCGGTACGCGGTGCTGCTCCTCACGCTGCTGGCCACATGGCTCGTCATGCAGACGTACTTCGATCACAGGTGGAAAACCATCAGCCTGCGGAGCTGGCTCGGTGAGGCGCTGGCAGGATTTCGGATGGGTCCCAAGGGAGGGTGTGGGCAGCCCCACCGCAAGCCAGACCCCAGAGCTGCATGTAGTTACCATAGACATTTGCACTTGCAGTCTCTGAGCAAGGCTACAGCCACCAGCTCTGGCCAGCAGGGCAGAGAGGGGACAGCGCGGTGGGAAGTTGTACCAGGGTGGGTGGCTCCAGGGGTGCTCATGACCACGGGGAGCAGTTTTGGGGAATTGCTGTCTGAACAGCTGCTACCGGCTCGGGGAAGAGCCAGCAGCTCCCTGGGGTGTCTAACCTGCCTGTTTGGTACCCACAGGTGCCACCAAGCAGCCCAAACGTGAGTACCGCTCTCAACTTCACCTCCATCACACACCACCGCTCCAGGGGTGAGGGTGACGATAGGATCTGCCCTCAAAAGCCCCTTTCCCAAAGCAAAATCCCACCCCAAAACACAGGAAATTTCATTATGGCATGCAGCAGCAGCAGCTTTGGTGGGTTCTGCAAGCACACAAACCTTTGCATGATCCACCTGCCCCAGCAGAAACACCCCCCAAGCCACAGGCTCTAGCAGGAAGGCAGTTACAGGCCCAATGCAGGCAGCGTGGCACAGGTTCCTGCCCTGGCCCAGAATGGGGAAGCTGCAGGCAGGAAAGCTGCAAAGGGCTGGCCTTGATCAAGTGCCAGCTCTGAACCCTCCCAGCACACACCTCTGCAATCCCTGTGGCATCAGCCCTGCTGCCCCACTCCTCACACCCACAGCAGCACCTCGGCCACCCCATCCCACCCTAGACCATGCCTCGGCACTGTAAACCTCAAACAAGAAGCTGGTCCAGAATTTGCCCTCTTAGTGGGAGACTGTGCCCCAGTGCCTGCCCTGCTCAGCCCCTCGGGGACATGGCTGGTGCTAACCTGCAAGGCCAACACCATGGCTTGCAGCTCCGCTCCTCCCTCACAGGTGAGCAGCTGCTCCGGCACAAGTGTGGGAACCAGAAGAGCTGCCCACTGAACTATTTCGCCTTCAAGATCATCAGCGGCGCTGCAAACGTGGTGGGACCCTCCATCTGCTTCGACGACGTGATGTAAGCAGCGCAAGGCAGGGGATGGGGCAGCCACGGCTGGCTTTGGCTTGAATAGGGCAAGTGTGGCCTCTGCCAAGCCCACTGATGGCCACCATGGTGCATTTGTGGTTAAAAAATTTTGGAAATAGTTTTCTTTGCTACCACATCTGGGAGATTTGTGCTGCCCATAGCCACACATTGCCCCATCACACTGTTTCACCAGCATCTCCAGGGCATCCCTGCATTCACTGGTGCTCTCTGCTTTCCTTTCCAGCCTCATGAGCAGCGTGAAAAACAACATTGGCCGAGGCCTGAACATCGCACTGGTGAATGGTGAGTGAGGGGTCACTGACCCCCATGTCCCCACAGGCAGGGTCACTTTTTGCCCAAGGAAGCAAATATGACACACTGAAGGAAAGGACAAAGCATTTTGCAGCAGGAAGCCCAAGCTGGTGGCCAGGAAAAGCCTAGAGCCACCCTAGCAAACTCACAGTGCTCTTGTTTTGAATTTTAACCTTCCAGGATCAAGTGGGCAGCTCCTGAAAATGAACACATTCGACATGTACTCTGGAGGTAAGTGCAGTGGCTTTGTGGCTTGGTGGCTCCCACCCATGTCTCATCCCAGCGCTGTTGGCTGCCAGCTCTTTAGGCTGCTTCTGTCTCGTGTATTTAATGTTAAAGTCTGTGGACTTTGACCAGCATTGCCAGCTCCGGTGGTAAAATCTCAGCTTTCCCCGAGGCCATTGAGCCTGGAGTCCCAATGCAAGATTGGCTTGTCGCCCCTTCTACATGCACATAATAGCCTGGAAAACGTAATTTCACTAAAACTAATAAACCAGGGCACCTGAGACCTGAGAGAGGCTACTTTCTCAGAACAAGTAGTTACGCTAATCATGAGATTTTACAAACTTCAGCTTGGTTTTTGGATGCTGGTGGTGGCTGAGCAGCAGCAGGGCAAGGCAGGCGAGATGTGTCCCCCAGCCCCAAGCAAGGTTGGGCACATGGAGCAGAGCCCGGCGGCAGCAAAAACCACATCCCCACATCTGCCAACTTCAACCAACCCTCCTGACAGCGAGAAGATGCTCTAGGCTGGGGCGGCACCTGCTCACAGCCCGGCTGGTACTGACCTGCAGGATGCTGTAAATCTCACTGTCATTGCAAAGCTGGTACCAAACTCTCCAGAGTTACAGTGAGACTCCTCCAAATCCCACGCTAAAGACACCACTAAGGTGCTTTTGATTTGCCATTTGAGCCCTCCCCAGGGATCCATCACCCTTTCTGCCTGTTGGTTTTGCAAGCTATTTGTAGTCCCTCTGGAGTTTTAAGGAGGAGCACCACTGTAATGAGATTTCAGGCTGAGTTTGCAGGCAAGAGGCGCAGGGCAAGAGACGGCAGTCGGCTCCTGTGCCACTAGATGGGGCGTTGGACTCGAGCATCCCAGGATGCGGGATGGGGAATAACTCCTGCAGTACACCCAAAGGCACGATCACAGGGCAGGCAGCGCTGCGGCCAAGCAGGTTCATTTCTTGTGTTGCATAATGCTCTTCTCTTGCAGACATTAGTAAACTGGAAACCTTCCTCCAAGAGATCCAGCACGGCACCATCGTGCTGACAGCCAGCTACGATGATGCTGCCACAAGGTGAGTCTAGCCTCAGGAGCAATACCTGGCTCCCCAAAAATCCGCAGCTGGGGGGAGCTGGAGGTGCAGGCACAGGAGGGGACACCCACCCGGCACCACACTAACACCTCCTTACCCTCTTTCAGGATGAATGACAAAGTACGAGCACATTTTGTGGAGCTGGGCAGCAGCTACGTGAAAGAGCTGGGCTTCCGGGACAACTGGGTCTTCTTAGGAGCAAAGGGGATGAAGAACAAGAGCCCCTTTGAAGAGGTACATGACCCTCCCCTGCCACCAGCTCATCCTGAGCCACATCTCGCCTACCTCTGCAGAAGACATGGGCCAGCAGTGTTATTCCCCACATCAAACCAAGCTGCAAGTTTTGCCACGTCCAAGAGCAAACTTGCACTCTGCCACCAACCTCCTCACACATTTTCTCTCTTTTCTTCCTGCAGCACATCAAAAATGATAAGGAGACAAATAAATACGACGGCTGGCCAGAGCTGCTGGAGATGGAGGGCTGTGCCCCCAGGAAAATGGATTAGCATCACACCCCAGCCTGCCACAGAGGCAAGCCCAGCCTCACCAGGACACCAGCGTCATTGCAGGGACACCAGCCCCACTGTGGGGTCACCAGCCCCATCACTCCAACCCCAGCCCCCCACCATCCAGTCACACAGCCCAGCAGCGGCTGCCCGCTCCCAGTGACCCCCTGTTTCACAGCAGGGGCTGTGCAGGGCTTGGGGAAGAGCTGCACCAGTGCCTGCAGAGCAGTCACCCAGCCAGGTTTCAGCTGAGCTGTCCACAACTATGGGTCAGTTTGGGGTATTTTATTTTTCTGTCTTTTCACCAAAAATTTTCTAGAAGGTTTTTTCCTATTTCTTAAATAAGAGACCTAATTATAAAGCACTGCCTTCTCACTTCCATTTTTAAGCATAATCCAGGCTTTTTGCTGCAGGCACAGCATTGCCAGGTCCTCTGCCACCACCCGGGCATCACAACTGTCCACCCCACAGCAGCACACACCAGTGCTCCCCCTCCCCACAGGGCAGAGTCATCCCTAGGGATGCTCAGGCCGTGGTGGTTTCCCCCTAGAGCTCCTGCCAGCCCCCACTGTCTCCTACAGCCACAGTAAGCCCAGAGGGCCACGGGGATGTAGGTTACTATTTTCAGACCAAAGCATTTCCCTCACCTGATTGCACCCTTCCTGGGTTAAATCAGAGGTAAACCCTCCAGAGTTAAGCCCCCAGTGTTGGGATAACCCCAGGGATGCGCCAACCTGACTTTGCCCTGCAAAGAGGGAGGGATGGATGTGGAAGTCTCTCAGCCAGCTGAAGTTGTGCAGCATAACCAATAGGTGGGAGCCTTTTACCAGGAGAGATGGAGCCAGCACCACTCTGGATCGATACAGCATCCCCAGACTGGCACCCTGCTGCAGGCACCCCCTTTGCTTCGGGAGCTGCACCCCAACCCAGGACCAGCCGACACCACCAGGAGAGGAGAGACCCCTGCCCAACTGCAGGCCAGTAAAGCCCTGCAGCCCTTCCAGGGTGCTTCCCAATGCCAAGGAGGTCCTGGGGGAGCATCTGCTCCCCTCTCGTGTCTGGGTGCATTCACCCAAACACTGGCTGTGCCCAAAGCCTCCCAGACTAATATTTTAGTTCACTCTGCAAGCACTGCTGAGATCAGATAAGCTGCATGAGTGATGGTCTGGGCTTATCTGTTATCATGGACAGGGATAAATTCCCATCATATACAGACTTTAATTTCCTATGATTGCATCAGGTTTTTCTCCCCATACTTTAAAGCAGACCAGCAGTTTTGCACAACACGAGGGTGGAGCATTTCTGCTAGAGCACCAGGAGCTGTGCAGGGTAGCACAGGGCAATCATGCACAGCCTTTTCTGCCTGTAACAGCAGCGTTTGCCCCAGCACGGCTTCTCTGGGCAGTTCACACTGGTTATCTGAACCCACAGGTCACCTCAGGGGAGCAGGAGAAGTGAGGAGCGTTGGCAGGATAAGGTTAGGAAAAGACACAGCCTGTCCCACACCAGCCACCGCAGGGACAGAACCCTGGATCCAAACCCCAGCATCACCATCCAAAACCAGTGAGGCAACTGGTTCTGCCTAAACAAGGAAAAATCCCAAAATAAATTGTGTAACACCTGTAAGGACCTCCAGAGACAAAACCGAAATAAAAGCCCCAAACAGCCACCACACAGGAATTCCCCAGTAGCTGTAGTATTTAATCCCAGCTTATCCTCCTGTGCTCTTAACGTGCACCTGACCACACCGAGGGAAGCCTCCACCATGAATTGATCCCTAAATCTGCTGCAGCAGCAGCGGTTAATCCTGAGCGCTGAATCATCCCTAGCCCCGGCAGCAGTGAAAAACAACACAACACAACAGACACAACAGCCTTCACATCACACAGCCCTGCCAGCATAAATATGCCAACTATTTTAAGCCCCCTCAAAAGATCTCAATTCGCTCTTAAGACAAATCAAAAACAGCCCAAGATCTGCAAAGGTGGCTGCACGGGGTAAAGCAGCACACAGCATCAGCCACAGCCCAGGAAACAACCAGCCCCTTTCAAAAAACTCTTCCTAGCCCCTTGCAACGCACGTTAGAAATCTGGTTTAAAGCCAAAATAAAGGAAATGTGTGTTTCAGCGTGCTACAGACGGTTAAAACTAACTTTGAGTCTATCGCTGAGCTGTTACTAAGGTATGCCACTATTTTCAATAAATAGGGGGAGCTGAAAGGGCAACTCCTGTGCAGGGATCTTAACCAGCAGCCAGCATTTTGATGAACCAGACCTCCAAAGTCACTGCGTCCTGATAAATAAATTGGAGCTCATCAAAAGTCCAGAAGTCTGGGGGTCGGGGTTATAAATATAGTGTGTGTATATATATATACATATATATGTGTGTGTGTGTGTGTGTGTGTGTGGTTTCAGGAGTCAAATTTAACTTGCTTCTTTTTTTAAAAGGCCTGGAAAGGACAGCAGGTGCAGGGACAGCAGTCCCCAAATGAGTTTTGTTTAGTGCCTTGGTATTTTAAAAGCTGAATTATTGCAGAGACAGGTACCTACCTGGCTGGTTTTCACAGTGCCGCATTCCCCTGACCTCCCAGGACCCAGCTCCAGGTAACTCGGTCTCACCAGGGGTCGTGGTGGGCTCCAGCAGCAAACAGGCAGTCCCGAGCATTCGCGGGAGCCAAGTTTGCAAAATCCAGTGCTGCAACAGGAGCAAAGAGCCAGGATACAGCCAGGTATCCTGAGGGATAATCCTGCCTTATTTTGGGGGTATGGATTTGTTTTGGCAAAGCAGCAAAGGAGCAGCTAGGAAGGATACTCCAGGCGAGGACCGGCGGGTGCCGGGGCCCCGCAGCCGGGCGAATCCGCGTCCTGTGACATCTTGCCCTGTCAAGTGCAATTACCATAATCTTCCACAGCCTCTCAAAAATACGGATCCCAGCTTAGAAACCGGGCATCCACAGCATGAAAGCTGCCTTTGTGCCCGGGCAGAGCCTGGGTGCGAGCCAGCCGTTAGGTGCACGAAGAAAATGAGTTCTCCACGTGCTGCGAGAAGGGAGGAAAAGCAAGCTTTCCCGCCCGGCTCCGCTGCAGACGGGCTGGATTTCACCCACCTCTCCCCACAGCAGCCACCGAGGGGCCGGGAGCCTCACGGCCGCGCATCTCCCCGGGCATAACGGGGCCAGGGACCACGGGGAGCCGGCCGGTCCCACAGCCCCGGTGAGAAGAGCACAGCCCAGACCGTCGGACCATGGGGGCGTCTCACGGGAAAAAGGTAACAACGGGGCGGTTTGGTTCAGGATTTATGATGAAGGCACACGGTGCTTGTTTTGCCCCACGCGTGCTAAAGCGGCTGATGGCAGTGAGGGATTAAGGGGAAGGGACCCACTTTGGGGTGTGGGTGTCACTCATCAGGGCCGGATTAAGTAATTCCACCTGATGGGCTCAGCATCGGGGTCTGCCAGGGCTCTGAGGACAGGGAGGAGGGAATCAGAGCATTGCATTAAGACAGGCAAAGTTTGGCTTTCTGAGGAGAAATGTCAGGCTTGCTCCCAGCACATCTGGCAGCTCATAGGCTGTCTCCCACAGATGCGGTGCAGAGCGAGCCCCAGGTATTCCTCGGCCTGTGAATTGCTGCCACCTCCCTCCTGGGACAGGGAGGAGCTAGGCCAGGTCCCAAGGTACTCGCATGCATCTCCCTCGCCTCCAAATCCCCTGGGGAGAGCAGTCAAACAGTTCCAAAAGGAAACGGGGCTTTACAGAGTCAGAGCCATGCAGAGGCAGCTGGAGATGGGTGTGCTGAGGACACTGTTAGATGTCATCTTGCTTTCATGCCCAGTGACATCAGTGCCTAGATGTCACTGTTCAGCTCTGATGTCCTGATCCAGTATCTGTAGCTTTCGTCACAGCTCTAAGAGAAATGCACTCGTGCACCACGCCAGGTCAGTAACTTCTACTGCAATGGGGACAGCAGTGACCCTTTGCCCCAGGAGGGACCCAGGTGAGCACCTGAGGTGTGGGCACATCTCAACCAGGTGCCCTTCAGAAGTTTGCAAACCTGCTGGGCTTTCATCCAAAACCAGAGCTAGACAGTGTTAGGGTAAATGTGCGTGAAAGCAACTCACTGGCCAGCATTACCAACACTCAGAAGGAAAATCGGGGCTGATGTGGGACTGGTAAATATTTATCCATGTTCCTGGACCTCAGAGAAACACCAGGTACAGGAGGTGTCACTGCTCTCAGCCATCCCCCTGCTTCTTCGACAACCCCCAGGGTGTCGATGCCATGGCCATTCCCGGGGCTCAGGGCTACCACGGCACCCCCAGGAGAAGCCACGCTCTGCCCACAGCCGGTCCCCAGACCTTTGCTCACGTGACCGCAACCTTCAGGCCTCGGCGCATTTGTAGGGGCATTACAGATGAATAATGGGGCAAAGCAGAGAAATAAGCTGGTTAGGTCAGGCTTGGCTCAGCGCCACACAGCTCAGCCCTGCTGCATTCAGTGCTGGCTTCCCAACCACCAGGCTGGATGGCTTTTGGACAGGTTTCCCCATTGCTCCCTCCTGAAACACCGTGATCCCACCGCAGCCCAGCACTGAACGGCCTGGCTTTGAAATGCTCCCGGGAGCTCGGGCTGTCCCATCACACCAGCTTCACTGCCGGTCCCAAAACACTCTGAGACAGTTTTATGGGCACCGAAAGGTCAGAGATTTCACTCCTGTTTCAGCCTCCCAAATGTTGCCCGGGTTGACAAAAGCCTGTGCCACCACCCAGCTGGCACAGAGCAGGGACGTCTGACTGGCAGCTCCTGGGTTGGTGCTTTATCTTTAGGCTGAAGCTGATGGGGGATGGAAACGAGAAAGCTCCTTCTGCTGCATTTCCAGGGTGGGCACAGCAGGCTCCAGCCCTCCCCAGGGACCAGGCTGGGTCCAGCGACAGCCAGGAATGCTCCCGTCCCCCAGCATGGCTCAGGGCATGGGGATCTGCCAGGCAGGACCCCATCCACCAGC